GCATTTGGGAAGCACTTACTGCTGTGTAGTTGTCGGTGTGATCCCCGAGCTGGATGTGTTGCGGGAGAAGTTTCGTAGGGAACAAAACATATAGCTCTGTGAAAACACCAACACCAACATCGATATCCCCAGCTACAACCGTTTCACGCTATTTCCCTACGAATGTGTGTCTATCTGTTCGCAAATGATAAAACAAATCGTCTCCATCTCACGTGATCAATCTGTTTGGCGCCAAGGTAAACGTGAGCTGATCCGAATGTTCACCACTCATCAGCCGTTGATTCTTGTCATTCGCACTTCATCTTGCTCCGAACCTGAGATAGGCAGTCAGTGTATTAATCGACCCTATCATTGTTTTAACCCCAACCAGAGATCCTTGTCACCGTCGCTGCCCACATGCACGTTCATACTGTTTTGCTGATTGGGACATACACATACACACAATCATGTTTCCCGTCTCCCACAATATCGGTGCGTTGATCCCGTATTTGGACTGTTTAGCACAGATGTTGGCCGTAGGTCATTGTAATCGTGGATCTCGATTGAACTGAACTCACACGTAGTCGGCAGATGGAATGCTTTCATAGCCGCTGAAGGCACCGTTTGACAGAAACGGATCTTTGTTTTATCGTATATGTTTTTATGTTATTATCTTGTTAATTCATCATTGAATATGAGAATTTCAGTGTGGCTGAACCTTGACTGTACAAACACATACTCCACGATTACTTTCATAGTTGAAGGTTTGTACGTTATTTATGTTAAGCGGTCCTTTTTTCATAACACTATTGCATATCAGAACAATCTCGCGACACTCAATCGTCAGGACCGAAATCTAGTGGGAAGCTTTTGTCAAATGATTCATCTTTGCAAAGATTCCACAGGAGTTCACATTCTATATAAATTACTTGAATCATGTTGCTGGGAGAAAATAAAATAAATTCCCAGCTAATTTATTTTAGAATGAATCTATTGTGTGATCAACTGTCACTTTCCCAAGATTCTCTGTATGCAAATGTTGTTTCACAAATTGCATAGACAATCCATCAGAATGATCAAAAATTCAAATGGACGTGCATTCTGGAAATTATAAATGTCAAAAGGACTGGCATCATTCGTTCAATTATGCGTTTTTTTCCAATTTTCATCGGAAATGTTTGTTGTTGTCCGTTTTTAGCAAATAACTAGCAGCTTTGTGCTAATGAATGATATATAATATATACCACGAACGTGTTTGATAAACTGTGATTCACGATGGTCACACATGAATCAAACGTATAACGGTATTATCAACATCAATAATTTCGAATTGTTATCGGCTCCTGACCTAGGATATCAAGATTCACACGCAATATGTGAGTGATACAAATCCGCGGTATGCCTGAGGTCGTTTATTCCACTGTTCCGTTGTCAATAAATCGCCGTGATTTGAAAATTCCTCATCGATGGTTTTTCGAAGTCCAAAACGTGTACCCTGTTGGTCTACGTGCGTTGGCGAAAAGGTTGCGTCGCGTGGAGTAAAAACAGGCAAAAAAGATATAATTAAGGTAAGCACTGTACTTCCTTGTTTATTAAAAGGGTGACCGGATTTCACATGGTGAATGTATTGTACGATTCGTTTGTTTCTTCTGTGGTTCTGAAAAGCAGAAACCGAAATGGGATTCTTGCCGTTCTGCTAATAGATGGTGTTTATGGACTGCGTACAGGTGAAATTTTACGGTATAAAACAACCAAATAAACGGCGGATTGAATATTATTTACAACTCACCATAGACCACCGTTGACCAGGTGTGAAACTAGACCCAGTAATAGAAACCATGGAGGTTTGGAATTTGAAATACCGTCTACAGCGAAAGTAAATGGGGAAGAACCGAATCGTTATTGTTTAGGCTTCGTCAAAATGAACGTATCTAGATAGATGCATCATAGTATACAAACATTTGGCTCACCTCAGCACTAATTGCTTTTTTATGAATTGCTGATTGCTTTTTACCACCCATCCAACATGTAATAAAAAGTAACGTCGTTGGATGGAGCATCTCTGGTTTGCCTCACTAAATGAACAGAATAAAGTGTATGTTTCTTTAACGTTTGCACTACTGGTTTAACGTCACCGTTGTTCTGCTGGTTTTGCGCGTCGTTATGTACATTTGTATCCTGTACTTGCTTCGATTTTGTTTTTGCTTTCTCTGGCGTCTTTACCGACTTATTCTCCTTCTGTTCATCCTTATTATCAGACGTTATTGGACTGGGAGATGGCTGCCAATGAGACTGTCGTTGTGGCACCTGCAGTTGTAGTCGTCACGGTTTCCGCACTAACATCAGTCGACAAGCCGGATGTGAATTTGGTCGTTGGACTTGTTTAGCAGAGCGTTTCTGATTTGTCTCCACTGGCCACGTTCACATAATTGCTTCCACTCGTCGACTAAAACGCAATGCAAAATTTTCACAATCACACGTTCGGTGTCCCAAACCTTAAATTGCAATATATATTTTGGAATTTTTCTTTTACCCTTACATTAACAAAAACCTTCACTTGTTTACCGGAATCCAATTTGACGCGGTACTGGCAGCTACTTCTACCGTTCTTCACAACGACGCTTTTCGCTTCAACAAATGCAGTGACCTCTTCACAATTCTCGGCTGATTTCATATTTTCCGATTTGCAGTGTACACTGGAATCGAATGGCTTTTATATTGTACCCCCAAGTTATAATGGAGATGCATGAGGCTGAGTGACGAAAGGGGAAGTATGTGCAATAACGTTGAATGAATATATTCTAACAATAAAATGTGCGGGAACATGTGTTTGTATAGTATGTGGTTTCAAAACACTAGAAGCCCGCAAGAACCGAAGATACTGAAGTAGATAAAAGAGGAAAGCTTCGTAGTAAATTCATTGCCCAAACTCTGATAGGAAAAGCTGACAGTAGCAAGCGTTCAAACGAGTATTCTCGCGGATGGCAGGCTTTAGAATATGTTGCTTGCCGGGTATAACTGAAGATTATATCCTGCCTGAAATGCAAATGTTTCAATGAGAGCATCAACGTCAACATGCTGATCTAATATTAGTCATGACTAGCATGACCATGCCTGCTTATCATCAAAATGAATAATTCTCACATTCCAAATAATGTGCGAAGACTACATTAGAGAACTCTGATGAGCTATCGACAGCTATAAAAATCTATGGTAGCATGGCACAGGTGGGCTCTCTTATTCTCTTTTCCAACGTGCCAATTATTAAATTTATTTTCTAGTGAAGTAGAAATCGACATTTTGCGTAACCATCCTGTGATTATTCACACTATGGATTTGCGTTTACATGAACGAAACTAGGAGTAAGAAAAAGGGTGCTATTCCAGTGGTTTTGAAGCACAGCAAACGGTGTATTTCATGGTTCCATGTGTAAACATATATCTTTGCCGCGCTAGGAAACACTGGTGTTTGTGACAAACTTGGTAAAACCTCAAAGTATATGGAGCATTTTTGGTATGTAGGCGTCTCAGTTCTCTCGCGTTCTCGTAGGATTTTGCACATTCATTACACAATCTATGAGTGATCTTGGAAATTGGAAGTCGTGAATCACTCTGAATTCAGTGAATTTCTCATTAAGACATCAGCAGAGTATAAACCGATATGTTGCCAATTTGATTTGAATCGAGGAATATAATCATGGGCAATTTAGAAGGCACAATTCGCGTGTAAATTGTTGTCAGAAACCGCTTGTGATAGGTCACCCTTTATACTTAGTTCTTTCAAGACGGACGTTAACATAGAATTTGTTTGCTCTGTCATGTCTTTCCCATGTGGTCTATCGTTTACTTCTGGAGTTGTTGAGGCTATTCTCTAGTCTAGACTGGTAATCAGTTTTGTCGAGGAACACCCAGTCGGCCCCTTTATCCGGTCAAGACTATGTGATATCCTTGTTTGAAGTTAGACGTATAATGACATCGGTATCTTTCATTGTCAAAATTGTTCTTTTCTGGGTTTGTGTGTTTTGATGCTGGTTACAATATTGACCCAAAAGTTCGTAGAACTGCTATAACCAGTAGGTCGAACGATTGCCAAACGAAGCCTGAATACGTTTAGGGGAGGCAGACAACTTAACTGTTTCGAATAAAACTATGACGTACTTTGATATGAGATCCTTCTTTACAAACATAGTGCTGATAGAAACATTTGATCATAAATGTCACGGCTGGATGTAGCCAGGTGTTATTGTCATTAAATTATCACCCTGGAAAACGAGTACGGGAATGCAACCAACCACACCCTGACTTTACCATTCGTGCATGGCATTCGTTTGATTGGCAACTTTAGCCTTCATGAAAAAAACATATCATTGCGCATTCAATAAAAGAAAGTAAAATAGCTTTTTAGTTTCTGGCAACAATCCTGTCGGAGTTCCGGTGAATAAATTGAAGGAGCTGATTCTCACAAGCACATTGAACATACAGATTTGTCCAATGACCGGTTTTATAGACAAATCGATGGGGTAGTCATAGGGTCTTCATTGGGTCCTATATTGGCAGATATTTTCCTAACCAAACTGGCGAATGCAAATTCGAGGGGGATAAATTCACATTTTGACAAATATTGCAGATACCTTGACGATACATTTATCGTTTGTGATTTCCACATCAGCCACACAGAATCTAGACGAATACAACAATTGTGGTCCGGCTGTTCATTTTACGTGTGAATTAGAAAAGACCGAACAACTACCCTTGTTAGATATGTTATNAAGCTAGACGACGGTACCATCCAAGGAAGCGCCTCCTGCAACGTCGGTTGGACAGTGTACGCATTTTCGTAACTTTCAGCTTACTGAATATGCGTATGTATGCGCAATTTCGTCACCGGTAGCCGACTCATTTGCATTAGTGTGTACTGGAACAGAAACCTAAACAAAAATAATTTTCGATATATCGCATCGGATCTTACATATTTACAGTGAACATAGTACAGATGTGTGAATGGCTGATTACAGTGCAGTTAATCACGGTGACAGAGAAGAGAAAACTGAACAAACTAACCTGACAAGGCTAGTGATTGTTGTTTCATGGTGGGGAAGACAAAGGTCAGAAGGATAAGGTTGGATAGAGATGAACAGATTAAAGCAAAGGTGTGGGGTGAAGAGACGTCAGATTTAGTGGGGACTATNATGGACACTGGAGAGAAAAATACAAATAAAGTTACTTCTCAAGATTGTGATCGATGATACTGGATGTGGAAAGCGGTTAGTGGAGGAGGGCTGGTACTCTGTTCTATGCACAAGCAGTGTGCTGTCCCGGCCAGGTAAAGAACAATGTCGGGATAAGCGTTTTGCTTACATAACTCTGGATTCAAAATGCGAATCGCAATCGCTTTCGGCGTGGTTAAAAGCCGCCTTCGTATTCCATGGTAATATCTCCGGGGAAGAGTGTGAATAATTGTGAATGCATTCAATGCGTTTACAAACCTACCACTGTCGACGATATGACTGAGAACCGAGCTGCAAATACATCTAACCGTTCCTTCGTAGAGGGCCCCATGACAGGGCTCAGCAGTACGTTTTGATAATCGCCTC